CCCGCCCCCCATCCGCCCCTCTCCGGAGCCCGGCCCCTAAGGTTTAGCCTGGTGTGTGTGTGTGTGTGTGTGTGCGCGCGCGCGCGGAGGGGCGGGGGGGCTCTGCACCCCTTTCTGGGTCCGATTCGGACTGAACAAACTTTCCCCCGCCTGGGCTTTCCTTTTAACTGTTGGCGCCATAGCAGCGCCCAACTCCCAGCCGAGCCCCTCGGAGGAGGGAGGGACCCATCCTGACCCTCAAAGGCGAGAGGGCACCCAACTTCCGCTCCTCCAGCCTGGAATGCGTGTCCCTGGAAGGCCAGGGTCAACACAGGAGCCTGGGCACCATCGCGCCCGCGGGGCACAGGGACATTGGGTTGGGGGACTGAGCCTTCCCGCATAGCTCGCTGCTTGGGGATCACCGCCTCTTGGAGGCCTCTGCGGGGGGGGGAGGGGGCGGCTGGGCTGTGAGTTAGTGTTCCCTTCCCTGGCCCTAGTTTTCCGGGGCCCCCAGACCCAGACTGCTGCCCCAGAGCTTGCAGAAGAGGGAGTCGGGGGTTGGGGGGGCCGCTAGTGGCTGCAGCCGGTGTTTCCAATTAACATTCCAAAATGGCCTCTCGCTGGCAGCAGGCGGGCAGGCGGGAGGGAGGGGAGGCCGGCGCAGGGCCCGAGCCTTGCTGCAGACGCTCCCCATCTCTCCTCCCTGTAAAGCCCTGGTGGCTCTCCCCCTCCCTGGATCCAAGGCGAGGGGGTTCTTGTGTTCTGAGGGAGGGTTTTGGAGCAGTGGAGCTGGGGCCTCATGAATCTGCCCCTTGCGGGGAAATGACCAGCCAATACAGACTTTGGTTGGGGGTGGGGGCAAGCCCTGGACTCCCAATCCGAGGCGCAGGCCTCTTTGCTTCTAACCCCGACATAGCTCTGGCCTCTGCAGTCCTGTCTACAAGCGGTTTGCAGACCCGCCGGTGCTGGCCTGAGATGGGGCTGTCTGCTTTCGCTGATACTTAGCCATTAGTGGGCAAACCCCGGGCGGGCCAGGTGCGCAGAGGAGCTGCAGAGGAGGGAGGAGCTGAGGCCTGTGCTCCGGGCCCTAACGCTGGTGGTATGGCTGGGGCCCTGAAGCCTAATGCGGAAGGGTTTGGAGCTCAGGCCTGTTACTTCCCCTCCTGGGGCCTCAGTTTCCTCATCTGTGAAGTGGGTCATAGGACAGATGTGGGGAAAACAGGGGAAGGTACATGTGTGACTGACTGGCACAGCCCATGTTGGCTGTTGTGATGGTGCTTGACATGGGGACCCCTGACTATCGTTGGTCTTGTGCGGCCCCCATTGGGGCCGGGGCACTGGCCAGGGGCATGGCCAGCCTCTCACCCAGGCCCTGCCTTGCCCTGGCCACAGGTGGTTTCAACAAGTTCCAGACGGAGTACTCGGAGCACTGCGAGACCAACGTGGACAGCTCGTCCTCGCCCAGCAGCTCGCCGCCCACCTCCGTGCTGGGCCTGGGGGGCCTGCGCATCAGCTCTGACTGCTCGGACGGGGAGTCGGACCGGGAGCTGCCCAGCAGCGCCACCGAGTCGGACGGCAGTCCTGTGCCGTCCAGCCAGCCGGCCTTCCCCGTCCAGATCCTGCCCTACCTCTACCTCGGCTGCGCCAAGGACTCCACCAACCTGGACGTGCTCGGCAAGTACGGCATCAAGTACATCCTCAACGTCACGCCCAACCTGCCCAACGCCTTCGAGCACGGCGGCGAGTTCACCTACAAGCAGATCCCCATCTCCGACCACTGGAGCCAGAACCTGTCCCAGTTCTTCCCCGAGGCCATCAGCTTCATCGGTAGGTGCTGCTGTGCTGTGGGTGGGGGGGTGGGCAGGCGCGGCAAGATGTGTACAGGACTCTGGGTGTAGCCACGCCTGACTGGGTACCTCTGGGCCTGCCGAGGCCTGTGTGTGCCCTGCATGTGCCAGCGTGTGCCCATGGGTGTACCTGTGCCCGCTGTGAGTCACCGAGGCCCCCGAATCTGAGCAGTCCCTGGGTCTCAGGCACCTCAGGCCCCTCCTGCCCAGCTTGGCCTTTCTGGCTGCTGTTTCGGGCTGAACGAGCCGGAACATCACAGCTCTCAGACCTCCCACGGGTCTCGCTGGCTCTGCCTCACGCCCCAGCACACGTGTCTGCAGGCTGGGGCTGTCACGGTGCCTCCGTGGGCTCTACTGTACACCTGAGGGAGTTCGGGGCGGGGTCTGGAGCCAGAGGCCTACCCCCAACAGGCAGCTGTTGGAATGTGGGGACCCAGAGCGCCTTGGTGGGGCCCCAGATGCTCCCGGGTAAAGGGGGTGTAGAGAGAATGTGGGGGAGGCTGCCCCTAGAGCAGCGTGTTCTGCTGTGTGGCTTAGAGCCTCCTACAGCCCAGCCTCAGCTGACTTGGTCTCCATGAGCTGCCTTGTCTCTGACCCCCCCCCCCCATCCTGCTTCCTCAGCCAGCTGGAGGCTGCCCCCCTCTCCCAGGGAGTGGGGAAGGGACCAGTGAATGGAGACCCGGGCTTCTGCCCGCCTCCGGTGGCAGGGAGGGTGGCCAGGGCAGTCTTCCCTGCTGGCGGCCGTCCGGTGAGGGCGTTTGGGTGTCAGCTGGGCTGGGCTGGGCTGGCTTTAATAACAGGAAGTGGGAGGCTTCCCCGCCTCATCCGCTTACTGGGAACCAAAACTAGGTGCCTGGCTGGGAGGAAGGAAGGAAGTGGAGGCCTAGGGGAGGGGCTGGGGCTGGGAGGGGGGGGGACTCCCTCCCCCGCTGTGGTGCTGCCTCAGCATCTGTGCTGACCCCAGTGAGGGAGGGGAGTGGAGGGACCCCGGATTCCCAGGGGCTGAGTCTGGCTTGTGGATGCCTTTCTCCTTCTTGAAAGCCCCTCTGCGTCTGGGGAGGGGATGGAGCAGGGTGTAAGGGGGGACCGTTATTCCCCACTTGACGAGGAGGGAGTGGAGGCCCAAGCATCAGAGGACGCAGCGGGACAGGACCCAGCGCCAGCCCCCACTGCTCAGCCACACCCCGGAGGCTAAAAATGAAGCGCGGAAGTGGTTTCACTTTGGATCACACAGGAGTGGGTTGGGGGCCAGGCGTTGCCCGTATCCTGGTGTGTCACCACTAGAGGCCCATCTCTCCCCGCCTTCTGCCCCCAATCTCAAGGTCAGACCACACGGCTCCCCGTGCCCACAGCATCCGTCTTCCCCTGCTGGTCTTGCCCCCGTCAGTCCCTGAGTCTCAATTAAGTACCTACTGAATGCTTAGCCCTGGGTAGCCCTGGAGGTGGGGAGGGGAAGCTCTGCCAGGCCACAGGCTGTGGGCACCAGGGGCATCGTTAGGAGTGCACTGATTGAGCACCGACTGGATACCGTGCCCAGTGAGCTCACAGGCAGGGAAGTGGGAGCCTTGAGGGCCCTGGGCTGCCTCTTGTTAATCTGTGAACCTGGCACGGCTGTGGCGCTGAGAGGGGCAGCTGCCCTGGGTCCAGGGGAGGGGAGACCACAGGGCGAGTGGTTCAGTGGCTCCACCTGTATTTGTTGAGCTCCTATCCGAGGCAGAGGAGCCTGAGAGCTGAGGGTGGGGGGGGAGT